AGCTTTAAAAATGATATTTCAGCTAAGCATTATACTCTTATTATGCTGTCCATAAGTATACTTTATAGGTTTGACAAGAGAACACTTACAAAAATTTAATCCACAATGAAAGTAATCCAAATATATCAAGATGAACAGTATGATTGAAACTGCTCTCAATAGTTCCTTTTAAGACTATGAACTGCTGCATAAATGAGGAAAGACAGTACAAGATTTATTCCAATAATGAGTTCCTCTTTATTTCTGGATGGATTTAATTACAGGGCAGTCACGTAATGTCACTTCCCCTTAGTATTCCTCCAACCTCTGACCATTTTAACATTATGGGTTTTCCTGAGTCTACTGTGGTTTGCCTGTTAGTAATGTCTAATGGATTTCTTTTTCAGGTGCTTTTCCAGTCTCTCTGTGGAACCATGTACTATGTGCAAACACAACATTCTTGTCAAGATGTTCTCCAATGACACTGTGTTGTGAGAAGGGATACTAACTTTTCCTGGTTTTAAGTCTGGATCTCATTAGCTTAATATTCCTCAATTCTTGATTAGGCAAAGGTAGTGAAACTTGTCCTGATGAACTTCTGCACTCCACTGAGGATTTTGTAGACTTCTTTCTAACCTACCTTATATTGTCACTTTTCTGAGCTGAAGAGCCCTAAACTATTTAACTCATAAGTTTTAAATTCATACCGGAGATTATCCTCCATGCCTTTCTCTTGATCTTTTCCAGTTCTTGTAGATCCTCTCTGTGATGGAGACCAGAAGCGCACAAAGTAAGCAAGGTGTTGGCAAACCATGGATTTTCACAATGCTGAGCTGATGCAAGGGGTTATGTTCTATGATTCATAGTGGTCACTGCTAAGAAAAACCATTTTGTATACAAAGCTATTACTGGATTTCCCCATGTGCATTATTTCACACTTACTGACATTGAAATTCACCCTCAAACATTCATGCTATCATGCACACCTTTGGGTAATAGCACATACCCTAATTATCTCCTTAGAGAAACACTACTCTAGTGGTTATCAACATAGACATCATGCTATTTTGAACACTTTGAACTGGAAAAAGCTTCAAAAAGAGATTGAGTGATGTTAGGATGATCTCTGTCCCTCTCATGTATCAGCATAGATGTAGCTAAACAGACACTGAACCCAAACCAGAGCACAGTCAGCCTAAGGAATGTTTATCAAGGCACATCCAACTCTGACTGTCCCTGTCCAGTCTCCCAAGGGCTCCTCCTACCCTGCCCAGGGCCCAGGATCCTGTGTCAGCGGTGTCAGCCCCTGCCCCAGCAACTCCACAGCAGTGCCAGTCTCCAGCTCCCCACAGCCCTACCCAGCCATGGGTCCTGCTGAGCCAGACCCACCCATGGGCCCATGTCCCAGCCTGTCCTTGGCCCATCCCTGTACCCAGGGAGGTGCCCAGTGCCTGGGGCTGAGGCTACCCTGATCCTGGCTGGGGTGAGACAGCCCATGGCTACCAGCCCCCTTCAGAAATGCACTGAAATTTATATTTATTCATATATATATATATGTTTGGTGCACCTGTTGAGCAAGGAGAAGGATTCCAAGTTAGACAACATCTCATTCAGGTATTGCTACTTTAAAAATTTATGTGAAGGGGGTATGACAAAGCCAGCTTGTAAGATATAGGTATACAAAACCAAGAAAAATAAAGGTATGAAAAAAAAAAAGAAAAATAATAAACTTCAAAAGCATGGTAAAAATAAGAGAATTAAAAACATACAGATTTTTTTTAAAAAGCCAATAGCAATGGGAAATGGATTAATTTTATTTCATAACTTAGTTTCCCTGCCCTCTGCTAAGCTTGGAATTTTCTCACATGGCAGGTGCTAACAAAGGAAAGAACCTTAAATCGTGATCTTTTTATGTTTGGTTGGTTTGGATTTTTTATTGTTATTATATACACAAAAATGTCCAAGCACATTTATAGATTATATTGCTAAACAAGAATTAAAACAAAATAACAACCCTACCAAACACAAAAACCACCCCTTAAAACTCAAACAGAAGCCTATACATTCATGTCTTCTCAGTAAAATTACGTTAACCACAGAGGCAACTAAGTAAGCATGTTGCTCAGGACCCATATTCCCTAAGCCAAAGGCAATATAGTGGTGAACTTCTCAATAACCTCTAAAATGACAATCTCCATATATGTGTACGTTTATATGTATATACATGTATGTCAGCTCACACCCATTGACCAAGGAGGGTAGAAGTCTTGCTAACTTATGATGCCCCAGGAGGACATGCCCCAGTGTCAAAGAACACTTTAAAAAACAGTTTCTTCTCATCTCTAGAAAAACTCTTCAAAACTTCACAGTGTACACCATCGGACTTGAAAGACTGCTGTTGTTGGGGTCATTTAGATATTCCTTTCTCAAGGAATAATCACACTCACTCAAATGGGAATTTTGCCTAAGCTGAGATGACTAAAGGCTAGATGGTAAAATGGCAGAAAGAGGTACCTGAATGAGCCATCCTTCCTCTTCCCTTTTAGACAATGTCTGAAGAGGGATGAAGGGCTATGAAGAGTTGTGTGAGGCTGGAGAGAAGAACAGCCAGTTGTGAGCATCTTTTCTCTCTTGCAAAAGGAGCAGTTCAGTATTTTTCAAAACATAGCAGATGATGTCCAAAGTGCAGTTTCTGCCCTTTTGGCTCTGTTTGGTGTCAGTTGCAGATCAGGCACATTGCAGCATGTTTTAGGAGGCACTAAGTGCTTGAAGATCAGGTTCAAGGTAAAACAGGTTGAAAATCTGCATTAGAGCTAGAACAAGTAATGACTTTCATTGTAAAAATACTTGCATGCTAAAAAAAAAAAAAAACAAACAAACAAAAAAAAAAAAACAACAAACCAACCAAAAAAGAAAAAAACCCACATAAATTTTAAAAAGAGAGATTTCAGTATAATCTCCAAAAATGTTCCTGCCATAGCAAAATGCTGAAAACGGTTTTGGTAGCAAGGAAGCTGGAATTCTGTGAAAGTGGATGGTGAAGGGGCTTGCACAGCAAGGTGGACTCGTGCAGAAACATATTCAGTGGACTGCCTTTTAGCACATGCAAGGTGATTTAAAGTAGCAATCTCATCTCACGGCACATATGCACACAGCACAGAGGCTGGTAGTGCAGGGTAGCTTCCAGGCAAATTGATGGGAAGGTTTGAAGAGGTTCTATATCACTAGGGCTGGCCTTGTGGGCAGAAAACGTGCAGATCAATTAAAACAAATACTGTGAAATGCCACAAAACACTTCAGATATCTTTTAAAAGGTAGTCCTAGGTCCACTCACATTTATCCTTCTCCAATAACTGATTATACTTTAGCAGAATGTACGACATACATATATTTCACTGTTGGTTTTGTGGTTATCCAGCTTCTATCGTGAACAAACTCATGGTGATTAGTGGTATAAAATTGTGCCTTAATCATGTCATACACAAAGAAAAAAAGTCAGATTTTAAGGGCCTTGAATGTTGCCTTTTACTTAGGCACAGGAGCTCAGAAATCACTACAGGCCTGCTCAAGGCAGACCTAGCATGTGATGTCTGAGCCAACTATCCATGATGTCAAAGACAGCCTCATACTCGGCACTGGATGGAGAGACAGTGCACAAAAGGATACCATATAGCTTTCTCTTGCTTGTGAGGGGGAGTTCATCTGGTGCTGTCAGGTGTTTATTGACTCTTCTCTGCCAGTGAGGCCCAAAGGCATGTAAAAAGCTGTAAATACTACACAAAAAACTTTGTCTTGTTCTGTCCCCAGCACATAGTCTGTAGCAGTTGTCTTTCCAAGCACACAGGCAGTAGTTGAGTTGTGAGAATGACCAAACCATGACATAGTATATGCAAACAAGCTGGAGAAGGATATTTCAGAGTGGAGTCCCAAATACAAGACTGCACATCAACCTGCCATAACCTATTTCCAGTGTATTTGGTCCATCTCCCATCCTCAAGCCTTGCTTTCATTTTTTTATCTACTTGAAAGAAGTACATTTCTGACATCTGGCCACAGGAACAGGGTTTTTCTAGTTTCTGCTGACACAGAATCACTCCAGTCTGTGGTTGAATTCTTATATATCCAGCTGAAAATCTGGTTAATAATCAACACTGTCACCATAAGAAAGATAAACTCACTGCCTGTACAGTATATAAAGCTAAATTCTCTGCTGAGGGGGATGGTGCTTCTGTGTATAGCCTCTAGGGAATTGGTGAAAATGACTTGTTGATACCAATCGCATAAGAGCAGCAGCATTGTTACTGTAGTAGGTCAATGTGAAAAAAAATCTATTTTCTTAAATCAACTGCTCCCCACTGTCCTGAGAAATTAATAACTTCAACAAATGAAAATATCCACTCAGCAGCTGAAGTAGTCTCAAACTACTAACTCTTGCTTTCCTTTCATTGTATGAGATATTTTGCTGTTTAAAATTGAAATAAATAAGTCAACCTAACCTTTTCAAAGGTTAATGTGGTTTGGTTCTGATAAACAGTTGGGTGACTGTTGCGGTAAATTCACAGTGGGTATGCATTATGCATTAATGGTAGAATGAGCCATTTTTCTCATTCTTTTGTAGAAATACAAGAGAGTAAGCAGTACATTAAAAAAAACAAACAACAAAAACCAAAACAAACAACAGAAAACCAAACCCACAAACAAAAAACTCAGCTCATTGTTTATAAAAATAACTGGCCCCAAATCCAACTTCAGTATATGCTGTAGTTCATATACAGTAATATTTCACATTCACCGAGAATCACAAGCCTTTGGTTGAACACTGAGGTCATATAACCTGGAAGTATTTTTTCTTCCAAACTTATCCCTTGTTTTCATGAAGTAGGACTAATTCCAGCCCAACACCTATTAATCAATACTGGATTTGCTTCAGTGCCTTCTTGAATAAACTCAGTTCCTCCAATGCTTCCATTTCTTAGCAGAAAATACTGACGTACAATACAAGTATGGCTTGAGGTCTGTCACTGGAGCAATTTTGAGGGTAGCTATTCAAAAAGAAATGTTTTCTGTGTCTACTCATGGATCTCATGCCTTTCTTCTAGGGATCTCTAAGGCTAAAAAACACTCTCTCGCCTTTGCAAATAGACCTTTACTCCCTCTAGCCCATCCATAGGTCCGCTTGACATCGACCTGGCTGACATGGTCCTTCCAGAGAATAAGCTTTCCCTTCTGGTTTCCAAACTGTCGCTGAGCAGAACCTTAGGGCGAAACACTTCCATGAATTTCTGGTAAAATTCTTTGCATGCAAAATAATAAATGAAGGGATCTATGCAGTTGTTCAGGCAGCTGAAGCATAAGGTGAGCTTGTAGGCAGGGTACAAACTCCTGCCATAAAACAAGCGGATGATCATATGCACAAGTAGGATAAAGTTATTGGGGGCAAAGCAGGTGACAAATACCAGAAGGACTATTATCGCCAGGTATATGGATCTAGTCTTCTGCCTGCTACCATATCTGCTTGATGTCTGAATAAGCTTCCGAATTATACCAATATAGCATCCAACTGTTAAAACAAAAGGGATGAGGAAGAGCACGACAAATAGTGTGAGGAGAAAGGCTACCCAGGCTGCAAAGTTTGGCAGCATATCCCACTTGAGGACATCGAAACAGGTTATAATCCCCAATTCTTTCACTTCGTAGGTCAGATCCGTGCTTTCTAGTGGGTAGAAGGCCAGTAACAAGAACATCCACATGCCTACGCAGGCAGCCAGGGCATATCTTTTTCTTCTCCACTTAATCAACTTCATGGGATATACAACGCCCATGTACCGCTCAATGCTGATGCAGGTCATGGTCAGTATGGAAGAATACATGTTGGAGTAGAACATCACGGTCACAAGGCTGCAAAGAGTCTTGCCAAAGGTCCAGTGATTGCTTTGGATGTGATAATAAATCTGGAAGGGAAAGCAGCTGGCAAGCATGAGATCCGTGATGCTTAGGTTGATCATGAAGATAACAGAAGGTGTTTTGGGTTTGATGTGCCAGCAGAGTACCCAAAGGGAGAACAAGTTGCCAGGGATGCTGATCAAAGCCACCAGTGTATACACAACTGGGAGGGTGGTGGAGATAGCTTTATTCTGGAGCATTGCCAGTGTTTCACTGTCCAGGTGGGATCCGTTTTTAACCATTATTCACAAGGGGGTTGTTGATCCCTATAAGCCCACTGGATCATATCATGAACACTTGGATTAAAAACCTAGAGGACAAATGTCAAGAGAGAAAAGAAATGTCAAAACAGAAATTAAGAATGTACTTCTATTAATCAAACTAAAAAAAAAATATCCCTATGTATTTTGACAGATTATGTATTTTTATATATTTTTTTATTTCCAATGAGAGAAGGAGAACATGCAATCAATTATTGTCGGTATATTCATGACATAAAAAGAATATATAAAACCCACCATGTATAATTGAGAACAAGGGACAGATTGCATTTGCTTGGACTGGTTTACAGGCTGAAGGGACCAGTCCTACAGAAGTAACAAACCCTCTTCTAACAAAAAGAACAGCTATTGAGTTTCAATTTCTGCAAGATTTAAGTTGCTAAAAAATGTTTTGTTTGCAGTGGTCTTTTTGGCATCACCTGTAATTTGGCAAAATTGAATTCAGTTTTGCAGTCTGCAAAGTAAAACCGTTCTTTCACTGGCTGGCCTATATAGATCTTTCTTGGCAGACACAATAGTTATGGTTTAGTTCATTTATTTCATACAGCATAGTGGAATTTAGCAGCTGCAAGCAAGAACTTGTGTCTCAATGTGTCATATGCATGCATGCTTACTTTCATTAAGTTATTCTTTTCTTGGTGCTGGCTGACTCTAGCTGGAAGTAACCATTCTGACAAAAATTGTGATTTCTGAGGCTCTTACTGAGTAACTTGCTAGACCTTTCACAAAATAGCTGTTGTGATTCCTGATACCTGATGAAGGTGAAGTCTACTGAAAGCTGTCATGCAATGAAGATACACTCAACTCTAAAAGCAGTGCAGACCCAGAAAAAGTATAGCTACAGCAGCAAGAAGCTTAGTGGGGGCTTATTTCTGTTGTTTCTTGATCTGATCAATCTGACATAGTGCTTCAAATGTCAGCTAGAATTATTCAGAAGGAGAGTCAGTATCAAACAAGGGATGTTAACTAATGTTGCCAGTCTTCCAAGAGCTTCCAGCTGAGCTGTTGGAAGCCTGGGAAAAGGCACAAGAAAATAGGAATTGCAAAACAATCAGAGATGTGTTCATAATATATCATGCATGTGACACAAGCAAACATGTTGCAAGTAATGAGCACATCACATGATCACATCTGCAAAAAGCCCTTTGAGCCAAATCCATTGCAGATGAAATTTTGTTCTTGTCAGCGGAGCTATATCAAGAATGAAACTAATCTTCAGTTCTCAGGGGAACTTGAAAAATGTCTCACTGACACAAAGCCCTTGGAAAAAAACCCTTAATACTTCTATTTCAACTCTTTTATCTGTGACTTACTATAGTAAATACATATTCATGAACTTTATTTCCTCAAAAATCCTTCTCAAGTGGCACCCTTTGTGCCTAACAACCCTAAAATTTCTCAAAACAAACAGATTTTTTTTATTTACATGAAAGTACCTACAGAGCTCTATTAATAAGCCTTTGTAAGTGAAAGATATTTGCTCTCGCAGGATAAGGGATCTCAACCCTCGATACTGTTCCAATAGAAATTGTATGTACTTGGGAGGTAGGAGTAGAAAATTTCCATTAAGTCTATCACACTGGTCATAAAGCTATTGAATGCCTCTTATGTTCAGGTTTGGATTAGTGTTGATCAGAAATCTATTTTGTTCTAAACTTGCTTTTTCTAGCTGCTGCAGTAATGAAAACTTTGTCATGGCCTGGCTAAAGGCCTTTTTATGCCTTTGTGGAGCACTATGATCAGTAAAACACAAGTGCCTCTGAAATTTAGGCACCTTTTGAACAGGGCTTGAAAGGCACCAGACTTTGTGTTCAAGTGCCTACAAGAGCTCTCCAAAAAGGGAAGGTCCCTTTGGCATGGTCTCCAGTCTGCATAGTAAGGAAGATGTCTATCAGAAGGAGCAAAATAAGAATGATGCAATGGTTCGCTAGTGTCTTCTGCAGGGGAAGACAGGGCATACAGAGTAAACAAGACTTGTTGCAAGTCACTCTTGAGAGCAAGAAGCCTCTTCGAGAGATGTGTAGTGCAGAAAATTCTTCTTCTAACTTTGTCTTTCCTTTTGCCAAATCCTTCTGGGGCTCTAATTCTGAATTCCTTGTTCAGGATTACTGGGCTAGCAAAATCCCTGCTCTGAGTCACCCTTATTTGTGATGCTTTTCTTTTAAATGCCCAGGTCAAGCTGCTGGAACCACAACGTCGCATTAATGTACTTTACCTCTTCCATTATTGCATCTATTTGGGTTTAGTTAATACTGTATTTATATTTTCATCTTGTTCAGGGTAATTTTATGTTCTTCCCCCACTACAACCACAGTCGCTGTCTGCATCTTATGGTTATACTTAAAAATGTCATAAATCAAATGAGAAAGTAATTTTTACGAGTTTTAGATTCTCCTTACGTGTTATGAGTTGCTTCCTTTCAATTTCAGATTTTCAATTCACATCAGTGGAGCTTGTATGGATTCTAAAAAAATCATGGACTGTAAAAAATCAACTCTCAGCTAAGGTTTCTTATCCATAATCTGTAAAAAATATAGTCTTATTACATAAATATCCCTGTTAGAAAGATATGCTTTTGCTTTTATGTTGGCGAAAGCTATATTTAAACTACAACAAATGGACATACAGGTAAACTGAAACAAAAACTCAGTGAGGATTCTTCAAGCGAGAAGCTCCTGTCTTACTACTATTTACATTAGACCCCAAGCTTCTGAGATACAAAGAGAAATGTTAAGCTTTTCTGCTGGCCTCATTTCTGAAACATTTAGTGGATGGATGTATTTCAGTTTTATATTAGTACTAAGAGCACCTACAGCCTCTGAAGTATCGCTTGCTAAATCCAGGTAGGATTTTTTCGCTTGTCTTCTCACCAGCTCATGGCACTCTGAACAGAAATCTCACTTACTTAGAAATTCAGTAACACAGGTTTTCATCCAAGCTGTAACAGTAAGAGAAGGTTCCAGCTGCTTGGTGCCTTTTTGACAGAAACAGTGATTTCTTTCTCTCTAATTGACAAAAGATGACAAAACATTAAAGGTTATACTGAAAATCAAGCAGTAAAAAATCAGAAGGGTATTATTTCTTTGCCATGGAACAGTAACAATGAAGATGTGTCTACTTCCTTTTTTAGGGGACTACTAAATTAAACTGATATGCTTCCTGTCTTGCATCTATTCTTTTCCTGTTGTCGGTCAAGTGCACATGTGAGAAAGACTGAAAAGCCTGTGAGCTTAATGAAAACCAGAATTAGCATTTTATAAAATTGTTTATAATTTGTTTTGTGATTCGAGATGGAATAATAAACCTCAGAACTTCTCATGCAGCAGCCAGCCATCCAAAACTTATTCTGCTTCATAGTGTTTGGTTCACTACTTGTCAAAGCACCATTGTGTAGAAGAAAAAAAAATATCAAAAATTCATAAATTCTTTGATATAGTTACACTTTTGGAAACTCACCCTTCCAGCTGAAGAATGTAGGATGGCTTGTTTCAGATTAAAGGAAAAAACCTGCAAACTGAAATGCAATTTCAACTGAATTGCAAACAGGTTCAGAATGAAGCACAATGAAAGCACAGATTTTATTGTAAGCACTTAGAGAAATAATATCAACAGTTTTTAACCACTGCAAATGTGGCTGAAGAATATATTTTGTCTCTCAAAAGACTGCATTTTTTGTTTTTATTTTTTAATAAATTATCTATGTGTTCAGTTATATTATTACAAATCAGTAAAAACAAAAGTGTGCTAACACTGGAGAAAACTCAGTGACCCTCAGTGTGTATTGCTCCTGCTGGGGATTCAGCTCCTTCAGGACTGTCTGAATTGCTAGTAAGATGAAAGAATATTAGACAAGAACAAACAACAGACAATTTCTATTATAGACTGAGTATGAGGAGAAGAAGGGACCCGGAAGGAAAGGAGCCAGGAGGCAGTCATCTTGAATTGTAGGAAAAGGGACAAACGCTTTGATACTAGATAAGAGTAAGGGGTTTAATATCAGGGACAAGAAGAAAAAGTGCCCTTCTGTAGCACATTTCAGTTATTGTTCCTAAATCGTCATTGATGCCATTCAGAGAAACGCTTCTGCAGATGCTTGTTCACCAAACTGAGGAATGTAAATGAGTTCATCTCTGCATGTTCCTTAAACTGAACAGGGACTTTACCGAAAGAGGCTGCAGAGTTTTTTCTGGGTGGTTCTTTCTCACCCTTGCAATAACTTTCATGCAAATTTTAGCTTGTGGGGTTACATCTCTAAAAACCAAGCGTTTGGTTCCCTCAGTCAAGATCTGAACCCAAGTCTTCTAAGAAACTTCTTCGTATTTGGCCTTCCATGTTCTTTTTGCCGATTTCTTTTTTCTGTTTCTGCTGTTTTGTTCTGAGTATATTGCAAAGATCAGCAACTGTTGCTGAGCCCGTAGTTATGTTACCACAAGGCATTATTTCATGCCAGGCTTTAGCTTATCTTCTTTTAAGAATAAATACATCTGGGAAATGAGACTTTTACACTCTGTGCACTTATGCGTACAAGTACTTTGAGCCAACAAAACAAATCTGAAAACATCTTACTAGCTTCAGTATTCTTGACCTTCCACGGCATTTTGCTTCAGAAAAATAAAACTGTTCTCTATTTCTTATTTTTCACCAAATACTATTCAGATAAAGAGCATAGAAAACAATATGTATGCCTTCACTGCAAAATATGGCACATTTTTTACAATGAAAGTGTTACATTATAATCACTGCATTAATCAAAAACTCTTGCGGAGACAAACTTCAGTCTTTATCTTAGTACACCTAGTCAAAGTAAACCTTATGGTGGTTATAGCTCTGACCTCAAGTAGTTAGGGCAAGGCAAAACAAGAGTGTATTCTCTCCACAAGGATTTCACATTGAGAGGTAAAAAAACTCTTTTCAGTAAGAAAAATGTAGAAGCATTACCATCTTTAGTGTAGTGGAGGAGTACATGCCTGTTGAGCTTGTTAGCTATATCAATCTAGAGAAAAGCAACTTTATTCAAAAGAGAAGAAAA